CTAGTGCCCATCATACAGTATAGATACGAGGAGAACGTGAATGGGAGGTGGGTCCCATCCTCCAGGAGCTGGCCTGTGAACATCACCATGAAGGGTGAGGCCCCCAAATGCCCCTTACAGCCCCCCAAAATAAAGCCACCGCAGGGTCATACCAGCAGCCCCCTGATACCTTCAAAGAGAGACCTTGGCTACAAACTTTAAAGGGGACAATAAGACCCATGCCCCCCTGTTGCAGTATCCCTGATTAACCCACAGGTGGCAGCATTTCACCATGGCTGATACTGAAAGCATCTGGCAGGCAGAAAATCTTCCCTTAATGGGGAGGGCACCCATAGTTCCCTGCCCTGGCTGGGGTATAGTGGAGGTAGCAGATCCCTATTCACTGTTCTCCTGTCCCTATGATTCCTGGTTATTAACAGCTCCCCTTTTTCTCCATCTCTTAGCTATCTCGTCTCTGCCCATCCCCCTGGTGGCTGGGTGCGCTGGTGCTGCCGTGGGTCTGGTTCTGCTGCTGCTTCTCATCTATCTCTACCAGAGGAAGAAGAAAGGTGTGTGGGGAGGTAATGAGGCGGATGGGGAATGGGACCCAGGTATCTGTGTCGGCAGCACAGGGCGCTCACCCCTTTGTGGTGCTGCAGCTCTCAGTCCCTGTCAGGGAGAGACTGAGATGGGGAATGAGACCCAGGCATCCAGGATGACCATTGAAGTTTCCAAATCCTAGGGGATTCTGGAGCACTCGCCCCCTCCCACCTCCAAGATTAATTTAGGATCGCAAGACCTTATTGCAAAGGACTGTGGGTAATTCTCTAGAGCAGGACTGCCTTGCACGGGATCATGGGTGATTTAGTAATACAGGACTTCAGTGCAAAGGACGGTGGGTAATTTGAAGTAAAGGACTTTGGGGAGTTTACAGGAGGGAGACTCTGCTGCAATGGATCATGGGTAATTGGGTAGTTACAAGGTGCAAAGAATTGTGGTTTCAGGGGTGAGATGCCAAGATGGGGATGGGACCCAGGCATCCAGGATGACCTTGCACACAGCTCACCCATATGGGGCCCTGCAGCTCCCAGCCCCTAGGTTGCGGGGAGAGCTCAGGATGGGGAATGGTGGGCATTCAAGCAATACTGCCAGGAGATCACACGACTGGTGCTGAAATGCAGCCAACTCTGGGGTCGGGTAGCTGGGCCGACAGGTGCACTGAGATGTCACCCGGTAATCGCTTGCTCGAGGCTGAGATGCAGCCACCTCTAGGGTGGAACACAGCAGCTTGCAATCAGTTGCACAGATGAATGGAAGGGCAAAAGCAGATGCTAGATCTCATGGAAGCAGCCGGGGTGGAGGAATTTAGGACAACAGAATCAGGTCAGCAGGTCTGGGGATATACCTGAGTTTATGGCCAGCATCCTGGGCAAACTACATAGAGTGGGGGGCGGGAGGAAGGATGGAGTGTTATTGGGAACCATCTTGTTCAGTGTTTGTGCAGCGCCTAGCACATTGGGGTTCTTCACCATGAGGTGTTTCTCCTTGGTGCTACAACAATAATAATTAAGAGGGGATGGGACTTATCCATAGACAGCAGCTGTGGCACCTCCATCTCCTTCCCGCCCTGTAGTGCCATGCTGGGGCATTAGGACAGGGAGTGACTGCAAGGGAAGAGCGCCTAGAGATGGGGTCCCCTGCGACTGCTGAGCCCTCTGTCCCACCAACCTGGGGTATCTCTCTGTGATGTTCCCCTCTGGTGTTATCTGGACCGGTGATCTGCTAGGCCTCTCCAGTCCTTGACTCTGGGATCCAGCCTTACCCTGCACTGCTGTGAGAACCCCCACTCCTGGGCTGTTCACGCACAGCCTCTGGCATGTAAGCTGCTCCTTGGATTGTGCAACCGAATGACACTAACCAATATCTCCGGTCCCGGACACAACCCTAGGAACCTCCGTCTTGCAGTGTCCAGTTATGCCTACTGGACGCTGCAAGCTTATATAAGTTTGTCAATTTAACAAAGAAATTGATATGTACCAGGCTTGTTATCCTAAGGGGAGTCTCTGACACACTGCAAACCAAACGCACTGCTTCAGGTAGAATAAACAAACAGATTTATTAATTATAAAAGATAGATTTTAAGTGATTATAAGTCAAAGCATCACAAGTCAGATTTGGTCAAATGAAATAAAAGCAAAACACATTCTAAATTGATCTTAACACTTTCAATGTCCTTACAAACTTAGTGCTTCTCACCACAGGCTGGCTGCTTGCCCTTCAATCAGGCTCTCCCCTTTGTTCAGTGCTTTAGTCGCTTGGTGGTCGTGTCTGTAGATGTAGGTGGAAGAGAGAGGAAGAGCATGGCAAATGTCTCTCCCTTTTATCATGTTCTTTCTTCCCTCTTTGCTCTGCCTCCCCCCTTCAGAGTCAGGTGAGCATTACCTCATCGCAGTCCCAAACTGACCAAAGAAAGGGGGAGAGTCACTCGAGAGGCCAACAGATACTTTTGTTACTAGGCCAGCGTCCTTTGTTCCTGTGAGGCTGGGATGGGTTTGTCCCATACATGCCTTGATGAGGTGTGAACTGCCCCTCTGCCCTTAGAGAGTTTTTGCCTTGGCTTTCTTTAAGCCATGAGGATACATTTTCAGCCTCATAACTATAGACATGAAATTATAACCTGTAACATTACTATAACATTACTGTAACAATTACTATAACATCACTGTAACAACAATGCTCAGTGCGTCATGAGCCTTCCGAAGACACCCAACATAACAAAATTTGCATTGGATACCACACAATCATTTTACAAAGATGAACATGGGGGTGTAGGGTGTTCCCATGAGGTACTGAACATCACACTCTCTCACGCTGTGATGCTGTTGTCAAACCACAAACCTCTGATAGGCACTGCACTTACACAGCCATCCACAGGCAGGGACATGCCCAGCTGAGGTACATGAATGATCTCCCAGGCACTCATGAAACATCAAAAGGGAGGCTCCAGCCAATTCCCCCAGATCCCCCACCCCAGAGATGTGCCATCTTGCACTGGGCAGAAGCCTGGCCAGGGTAAGCTCATTACCTAGTCCACCACTTCATCAACAGAAGTGGACATGCACCAGCCTTTGTAACCTGAGCTGAGATTCCCCAAGCACTTGAACCAAAACACACTGTTTTAGATAAAATAAAGAACAGATGATTAATGACAGAAAGACAGATTCAAAGTGATTATAAGGAGCAGGTGCAGACATCAAAGTTGGTTCCTTAAGAAAAAATAAATAAATTCACAGTCTAAGTTCTACAAACTAAACAGGATTTGAATCAAGCAGTGTCTCACCTAGACAAACAGTACAAGCAGGTTACAGATCCTCAATACACAGGCTAGGACTCTTCTGCAGCCTGGGACCTGCCTCCCCCAGTTGAAAGTCTTTGTCCTCCAAACGTGTTTTCAGGTGTTGAGTTGTGGGGGGAGTGAGGCCAAGTGATGATGTCACTTCCCCTCTTTTATACTTTCTTGCTAAGATCTTTGCTGTGCAGTGGGGATCAGGTGGTCCCCATTGCTCAAGCAGTCTCCATTGTATACAGTCTATGGATAGTGGATTCTTTCCTTGATGAGCCATTAATGCGGCCTGGCTAACTCCACTGTTGTACCTGAAAGGCTGGTTGTGGGTGTTCCCAACCTCACAACATATTTCAGTAACATATACAGCAGGGATCTGCCACCTTTGGCACGCGGCTCGCCAGGGTAAGCACCCTGGCGGGCCGGGCCAGTTTGTTTACCTGCCGGATCTGCAGGTTTGGCCGATCGCGTCTCCCACTGGCCTCGGTTCATAGAATCATAGAATATCAGGGGTGGAGAGGATCTCAGGAGGTATCTAGTCCAACCCCCTCCTCAAAGCAGGACCAATCCCCAGATAGATTTTTACCCCAGTTCCCTAAATGGCCCCCTCAAGGATTGAACTCACAACCCTGGGTTTAGCAGGCCAATGCTCAAACCACTGAGCTATCCCTCCCCCCTCAAACTGGCTGTGGTTCGCCGATCCAGGCCAATGGGAGCTGCGGGAAGCAGCGCAGGATGAGGGATGTGCTGGCCGCTGCTTCCCGCTGCCCCCATTGGCCCGGAGCGGTGAACCACGGCCAGTGGGAGCTGCAATCGGCCGAACCTGCAGACGTGGCAGGTAAACAAACCAGCCCGGCCCACCAGGGTACTTACTTACCCTGGCAAGCCGCGTGCCAAAGGTTGACGATCCCTGATATACAGCAATACTTCATAACTTCCCATACAATGACAGCACATGCAATCCAACAGGACATCAATGTTCAACAGATGAAGACTTTAAAAATGATACCTCGCTAGGCACACGTTGTACCAAACATATCCTAATTGTATGAGAGTGGTGAATATGGGGGTTCCACGGTGCTACTCTGAGGTACAGAGCATCATCCCATCCCTCTTAGTTCACTGCAGGAGTTTTAGTCACTGACCAATGCGGAGGCAGTGGGCCCAAGATCCTCTTTAGGTTTTGACCATACAGCTCCCAAGTATTGCTAAACATTGTCGTGTTCCCCCCAGGAGCTCTTGTAAAGTTCTGTGTAGCTTTTAACCCTTTGTGGATCAGTCTGGTCATTTCAGAAGTGAGCCAGTGTGCCTCCTCTGGGATGCTAGAAAGCATCTCTTTGTATCTGGTCAGTATTGTTAACCCTTCTGCTTTTTCATCTGGTGTTAACTGAATGCAGATATTAATGTTTTCTAGTGTGTAGGTAACTTGGCATTTAGCCAGCAATGCCATGAGGTGGTGTGCCTCAGTTTCCCCTTCCATGCAGCAGACCAGGTTTATTATGGTTTCTCTGCTGTGACACACCCCCTACTGAGCCCCCGCCCTGCTCCCTGCAGCACAATGCCACCTTGGGGCATTGGGCTCAGCACTGACTGGCAGGAGAGAGCCCCCCATACTGAGCCCTGCCTCGCTCCCTGCATCACAGCGCCCCCTAGCATCACACTGGGGCACTGGGCTCAGCACTAACTGTCAGGGCAGAGCCCCCTGTGCCCCACTCCCTGCATCACAGCGCCCCCTAGCACCGCACTGTGCCACTGTGGTCAGCACTGACTATCGGGGGAGAGCCCCCTCACCCCACTTCCTGCAGCGCAGCTCCCCCTAGCACCACACTGTGGTACTGTGGTCAGCACTGACTATCGGGAGAGAGCCCCCCGCACCCCGCTCCCTGCATCACAGCACCCCCTAGTGTTATGCTGCTGCATTGGAGTCAGTGCTGATTAAGATGCAAGAACGGCCCCTACTGAGCCGCCGCTCCCTGCAGCACAGCACCCCCTAGTGATGCATGGGGGTATTGCAGACAGCACTCTTTCCCAGGGGAGTGTGCCCCCTATTGAGATACCCACAATGCCCCCTCCTGGATTCCTTGCTTTGCTACCCCTTGTTGGTCTCCCATCTAAGTGCACCCCACCCTTTCCCCTTCTGAGCCAGAGCCCTAACATGGAATAGAAACACACTATGAAATGCCCCAGGTACGTTAGCGATGTGACTGATTTGCTTTTATAATTGGTAGGTTCCAAGTGGGAGTGGAGGAGGAGAGCCCAGAACGATGGTTTTATCAGCAGTTACTCACCTATGCCTCTAACAATGATCAACCCAGACACTCTTTAACAGCCCCCTCAGCTCCTTGCCTCCATGTCCCCTGCAACATCATAGGACCAATGAAGATCTGTGAAGCTTACCACACTCACCGTGCATATCCTCCCAAGGTCTCCTTGACGCTGGCGGGCACACACCAGGCCTCCAGCCGAAAACATCCCCGGCAAAACGGAGATGTGATTGTGTCTCTTTGCCTGCTGCAGAGATACTGGGACTGTTTGAAAGGAAGGAAGAAGTTTCTATTCTCCTAATGTCTCAGCAAATCTCCCCTTTACCGGGAACATTCAAGCTGATGTAAATCTCTGTAAATTTTCTGTCTCCTGTTTGTCATTAAACCCCCCTTTAATCTCCTATGGTCTTTCTGCCCCTCCCCCCTCCTCCCCCATGATTCTATAAAATGAGACATGTCAGGCTGGAAGAGACCTGGAGAGGTCATGAAGTCCAGCCCTGTGCACTGAGGTAGGACCATGTAGACCATCTCCAACAGGTGTTTGTTCCATCTGGTCTCCAAAACCTCCAGTGATGGGGCTTCCACAACCTCCCTTGGAAGCCGATTACAGAGCTTAACTACCCTTACAGTTAGAAACTTTTTCCTAATATCTAACCTCAATCTCCCTTGCTGCAGATGCTTGTCTAACTTCAGTAGATATGAGGAACAATTGATCCCCGCCCTCTTTGTAACAGCCCTTCACATATTGGAAGAATGTTATCAGGTCTTCTTTTCTCAAGACTAAAAAAGCCCATTTTTTAAAAAAACCTTTCCTCATAGGTCAGGTTTTCAAAACCTTTGTTCATTTTTGTTGCTCTCCTTTGGACTCTCTTGAATTTGTCCACAACTTTCCTAAAATCCCAGAATTGGACACAGTTCTCCAGCTGACGTCTCACCAATGCCGAGTTGAGTAGGAGAATGACCTTCCGTGTGTTACGTACAAGACTCCTGTTAATACACCCCAGAATGATATTAGCCTTTCTCACAGCTGCATCGCATTGGGGACTCATCTGCAATTTGTGATCCACCCTAACCCCGGATCCTTGTCAGCAGTACGACACTCCTAGCCAGTTAGTCCCCAGTTTGCAGCTGTGCCTTTGATTTTCCCTTCCTAAGTGAAATTATTTGCACTTCAAGTATCAGGGGGTAGCTGTGTTAGTCTGTATCCACAAAAACAATGAGGAGTCCGGTGGCACCTTAAGGTGCCACCAGATTCCTCATTGCATTTGCACTTGTCTCTATTTAATTTCATCCTGTTGATTTCAGGCCAATTCCCCCAACTTGTCAAGGTCGTTTTGAATTCTAATCCTGCCCTCCAAAGTGCTTGCAACCCCTCCAATCTTGGTGTCCTCCGCAAAGTTTATAAGCCTATTCTCTACTCTCCATTCTCCAAGTCATTCATGAAAATATTGACTAGTACGAGACCACGACTGAGCCCTGTGGGACACCATTAAGTACGCCCTCTCGCTTTAATGGCAAACCATTGCTAACTACTTTTTGAGGATGGTCTTTCAACCAGTTGTGCACCCAGCTTATAATAATTTCACCTAGACCACATTTCCCTAGTTTGCTTATGAGAATGTCGTGTGGGACTGTCAAACACCTGACTAAAATCAAGATACATCACGTCTACTGCTTCCCCGCATCCACGAAGCCAGTAACCCTGCCAAAGAAGTAAATGAGGTTGCTTTGGCATGATTCGTTCTTGACAAATCCATGCTGGCTCTTTCTTATAATCTTCTTATCCTCTAGGTGCTCACAGATTGATTGTTTATTAACTTGTTCCAGTATCTTTCCAGGTATCAAAGTTAGACTGACTGGTTTATAATAACCAAGGTCTTCCTTCTTCCCCTTTTTAAAGTTAGCTACAATGTTTGCCCTTCCCTAGCTCTCTGGAATATCACCCTTGCTCCATGGCTTCTCTAAGATAATTGCTGATGATTCTAGGTTGTTTCAGCTTATTCCTTAAGTACCCTAGGATGATTTCATCAGGCACTGCCAACTTGGATACATCTAATGTCTCTAAATATTCTTTAACCTGTTCTTTCTCTATTTCCTTTACTGTGGTTATTTCCTCCCCGCTGTGGTGTGTGTCATTGGCCCTGTACTGCTGACCCAGAAGGGAGATTCTCCTTAGAACTCCTGTCCCTGCTGAGCTGGTCTGTGGCTGGCTGTGTGCACCCACCATTAGCCCCACTATCACGGAGAAGCCACCTTGCCCTGAATCCATGAGGCTGCGGGCTCAGAGAGCCCCTTCTTCAACCTCCTCATCCATAAGTCATCATTCACTCTCATCCCCTGTTCCATGCAGAGCAGGGACATATTGATCTTTCTGGGGAGATTGTCCTGCCGCAGCCCATCTTCTCCATTCCCAGCTCTTGGAGGGGAGTGGGATCTAGTGGCTAGAGCAGGAGGGGCTGGGTGCCAGGGCTCCTAGATTCTACCCTCAGCTCTGAGCAGGCAGTGGGGTCTAGTGGTTGGAGGGGGGGCAGGAGCTGGGTATCAGGACTCCTGGGTTCTCTACACAACTCTGATAGGGCAGTGGGATCTAGTAATTTGAGCGGATGGGGGGTGGCTGGCTAGGAGCCATGACTCCTACGTTCTCACCCCAGCTCTGAGCAGGGAGTGGGATCTAGTATTTGGAGCACAGGGGAGTTGGGAGCCAGGACTCCTACGTTCTCACCCCAGCTCTGGGCAGGGCATGGTGTCTAGTGGTTGGAGCAGGGAGGCTGGGAGACAGGATTCCTAGGTTCTCACTCCAGCTTTGAGCAGGGAGTGTGATCTAGTGGTTGCAGCAGGGGGGGCTGGGAGCCAGGACTCCTGGGTTCTCGCCCCAGCTCTGGGCATGGCATGGGGGGACTCCTGGGTTCCCCTCTCAGTTCCAAGAAGGGGCATGATTCCTATCAGTTGGGAAGACATGCAACCAACATTTTCAAAGGTGACTAGGGATTGTGGGTCCTTGGGATCTGGAAAGGCCCTGATCCTCCGAGGGCAGCTTCCCGGCAAGCCAGACAGAATCTCTAGCCACCCCTGAAATTCCTGGCCTCTGGTCTTTATCATGAGATTACTAGCATCAACCACCCCAGAGCCCATAACCAGTTGCTGCCCATAAGAGCCTCAATCCAAAACTGAGATGGCCAAAGGGATTCAGACACCCAATTCCCATCCTCATTTATGGGCATTCAACTCCCTTAGGCCTCGGCATAAACAGGCAAGTTTGAGCTGCTTAGAAAATCAGGGTGAAAAATTTCAATGCAAACGGGAGGAAATAATTATTTTCTTATGCGTTGGCCACTGCAAATATCTGACTCTCAGTAGAGACTGTATGAAGGCTGGCGCATCACCCACCTTGCCTGCGCCGTGCCTCAGTTTCCCCAAACCGCTGGAAAAGGCCCTTTGGGTGGGTAACACCGCGTTGAGCTGAGCTGGCCCAGGGCCGTGTTGCTTTTGCAAAATGCTGAGGGAGGGGAATGCAGGGAGGAGGGCCTCAGTTTGTGGTCAGCAACTGCTGTCACATTGCCCAAGAGTCCAGCATGTGACCTTCACTGGGATGCCAGGATATCTCTCACATCACAGAGGAAGTGGAGGCTGGGTATCACGTCCACACCGGGGTTCAGCTGACAGGAAGGGAGCCAGCCTACTCCCTGGGCAGAGACAGTGCTGATGGCTCAGAACCCAGCTCTCAGCCACAGACAGATCAGCTCTCTCAGCATGGAGCTAACTCTCCTTCTGCCGCTGCTGGGTAAGTAGCCTCCCTGGGCCTGCTTCCTCTCTTGGGCTATCTCCTGCCTTGCTTGCTTTCCTGCTTCTCTTTCCTTGCTTGCTTGCTCACCAGCCTTCTTTCTGTCTTTTACTTTCGTCTTTCTTGCTTGCTTTTCTCTTTCTATGGCTTTTCTCTGTTTCTTGCCTTTTCTTTCTCTCTCTTTCATTTCTTTCTCTTGCTAGGGCTTTTCTTTCTAGCTTGCTTTTGTGATTCCTCTTTTCTAGATTGCTTGCTTGCTTTCCTGTTTTGTCTTTCTATCTCGTTTAGTCTCTTCTATTGCTTTTCTTTCTTGCTTGCTTTCCTGCTTTTTCTTTCAACCTCTTTTATTTTTTTCTGTCTCTCTCTTTTGTTTCTTGATTGCTGTCTTGCTTTCTCGTTCTTTTCTTGCGTGTTTGTTTTCTTGCATTCTCTTTCTGTCTCTTTTCTGTTTTCTTGCATTCCATCCTGCTCTCTCTCTCTTGCTTTTCTTTCTTGCTTGCTTGTTTTTCTGCTTTCTCGTTCTGTCTCTTGTCTATATTTCTTTCTTGCTTGCCTGTTTGAGTTCTTTCTCTTTCTGTCTCTTTTCTTGCTTGCTTGCTTTTTCTTGCTTTCCTTCTCATCTGAGCTGTACTGTCCTGTGACACTACGACCCCATATTCTTCATAGAGATATTGTTATGATATGATTATGGCATAACTATGATGTATTTTGTACAAGAGAGGTCATGTGAGGTATTATTGAAAAGGTTATGGTTTACTGAATATGATTATCCTATTTGTATGCATGTATCATTTTTATACCTGAAGTTATTAATATTGTCTATGCACCTATTACAAATGTCCTTACACCTGGGGAACGCCCACTAGGCAGAATGCAATCAGTCTAGATGTCTCACTGGGAAGGGCTGTTAGAGAAAACAATAGATCTTAGAGAATGCTTCCCACCCACTGAGAAGCTTTCCTGGGAACTCTGCAAACAGCCTCTGAGGCCTTGGCTACACTTGCGAGTTACAGCGCAATAAAGCCGCCCACAGCGCAGTACCTCACTCCCCGTCCACACTGGCAAGGCACATACAGTGCTGTATCTCCGCGGCTACAGCGCTGCTTGTACTCCACCTCCCCGAGAGGAATAAAGAGTATTGCACTGCCGATGCTGCGCTGCGGTGCCAGTGTGGCCCCCCAGTGCGCTCTGATTGGCCTCCAGAAGTATTCGGCAGTATCCCACAATGCCTGTTCTAGCCACTCTGGTCATCAGTTTGAACTCTACTGCCCTGGCCTCAGGTGATCAACCGTCAGACCCACCCTTTATATTCCCCGGGAATTTTAAAAATCCCCTTCCTGTTTGCTCAGCCAGGCGTGGAGTGCTCTCAGCGAATCTTTCCAGGTGACCATGCCTCCACGCGCCAAGCGAGCCCCAGTTTGGAGCAATGGCGAGTTGCTGGACCGCATCAGTGTTTGGGGGGAGGAAGCTGTCCAGTCCCAGCTGTGCTCCAGCCGTAGGAATTATGATACCTTCAGGCAGATATCAAGGGCCATGATGGACAGGGGCCATGACCGGGATGTGGTGCAGTGCAGGATTAAAGTGAAGGAGCTGCAGAGTGCCTATTGCAAAGCCTGCGAGGCAAATGGCCACTCGGGTGCTCCCCCCGTGACCTGCCGATTCTACAAAGAGCTGGACGCGATACTTGGGGGTGACCCCACCTCCACTCCAAGCACCACCATGGACACTTCAGAGCGGGGGGAGGAGGAAGAGGAAAGCGGGAGTGAGGGTGCTGGGGCAGGGGGAGACACCCCGGAATCCCTGGAGCCATGCAGCCAAGAGCTCTTCTCGAGCCAGGAGGAAGGTAGCCAGTCGCAGCGGCCGGTACTTGGTGGAGGACAAACAGAAGAGCAGGTTCCCGGTAAGCGGCTTTTTTTTCGGGAAGTTTTTTTTTCAGGAAGGAATTTTTTTGGTGCGGGCTCTTTGGGAGAGGAGGGTTAGGGCTGCATGCATGCCTAGATGTGGAATAGCGCATTGATGTGGTCTATCACATCGCGGTAATCAGCCTCGGTAATCTCTTCGAAAGTCTCATCCAGAACGTGTGCAATGCACTTGCGCAGGTTTATCGGGAGAGTCACCATGATCCTTGTCCCAGTCAGATTAACGTGTCCGCGCCACTGTGCCGCGAGGGGTGGGGGGACCATTGCTGCACACAGGCAAGCTGCATATGGGCCAGGACAGAAGCCGCATTGCAGTAGAAGACCCTCCCTTGCTTCCCAGGTCACCCTCAGCAGCGAGATATCTTCCAGGATGAACTCCTGTGGAAAATGTTGGGACAGTGTTCAGTGTAGGTGCCCCCTGCAGCTGTTGGCTCTCCCCAAGGCACAGAAACTCAGAGGACAGTACAGCCCTGAAACAATCAGTCCCCCTTACTCACCATTTTGGGGCTCCCGTGGGTTATGTGTGCTCTCTTTGGGACGGGAAAAGTATGCTATTGTGTAGACTGTGTGTGCCCTCCTTAAATGCGGGGCAATCATTACTCTATCTGGTATAAACAATGCTGCCTCTGTTAAGTGTTGTACTTTGCCATTACAGATGCAACCTTGAGATCTCAGCCGTCCGTGTTATCACCGACTGAGAGACTGCAAAAACTCCGGAAGAGACTGCGAAAAACCAAAGAAGACATGCTGCAGGAAGTGATGCATCAATCTCTTACAGAGAATCAAAAAGCGCAGGAGTGGAGGGAAAGCGAAAGCAGGATCCGCCAGGAAAACGCAGCACACCGGCAGCAACGCACGGATCAGCTGATAAGCATCATGGAGCGCCAAGCGGACTCTATCCAGGCACTCGTAGCCATGCAGGCGGAGCACTACCGTGCTCGCCCCCCCCGCAGCCCTTGTCCCAAAACTCTTTCCCTTGTGCCCCCATGTCACCTCCAACCCACTTTCCCCAACATCCGGGTTCTTACCGCCACCAGCTGCCTCCAACTCCTGTATCTTCACCAAGCAGCGCTGAGAACTACGACCCTTACCCTCTGCACTCAACCCCCATCACCATGCAGTATAGCCATCCTGAAGTGCAGCACTCATTGCACAGCACTCCAGACAGGACATACGCAAATCTGTGATTGTATCGTTCCCCACCCCCTTGCCCTTTCTGATTCCCAAGCAGTTGTATTTCTTTTCAGTAAATGAATTTTCTTTTCAATAAATGGATTTTTTGGCTTTGAAAACATTCTTTATTATTGCATAAAATAAAAGATACTTTAGCCCAGGAAAGAAACAGGCACTGCAAGTCAGCTTAGCAAATGCAGATTCCTACTAACATTGGAACCACTGCACTTCTGTCCCATGCAGGGCACCAGACATTACTGCTGGTTTTCAGCCTCAAATTGCTCCCTCAAGGCATGAATTGAATTATGAATGAATGGAGATATCCTATCTCCTAGAACTGGAAGGGATCTTGAAAGGTCATTGAGTCCAGCGCCCTGCCTTCACTAGCAGGACCAAGTACTGATTTTGCCCCAAATCCCTAAGTGGCAAGGATTGAACTTACAACCCTGGGTTTAGCAAGCCAATGCTCAAACCACTTAGCTAATCCTTGAAGCCCCATGCTGGCCCACTCTACGAGCCCTGCTCTCTGGCTGTGCAAATTCAGCCTCCAGGTGTTGAACATCGACAGTCCATGCCTCACTGAATCTTTCACCCTTCCCTTCACAAATATTATGGAGGGTACAGCACGTGGATATAACCGCGGGGATGCTGTTTTCGGCCAAGTCCAGTTTCCCATACAGAGATCGCCAGCGGCCCTTTAAACGGCTAAAAGCACACTCCACAGTCATTCGGCACTGGGCTCAGCCTATAGTTGAACCACTCCTTGCTGCTGTCAAGGCTCCCTGTGTAGGGTTTCATGAGCCTTGGCATTAACGGGTAAGTGGGGTCTCCAAGGATCACAATGGGCATTTCGACTTCCCGTACTGTGATCTTCCGCTCTGGGGGAAAAGTCCCAGCCTGCAGCTTCCTGAACAGGCCAGTGTTCCGAAAGATGCGTGCATCATGCACCTTTCCGGGCCAGCCTGCGTTAATGTCAATGAAACGCCCACGGTGATCCACAAGCGCCTGGAGAATCGTAGAGAAATACCCCTTCTGATTAACGTACTCGGATGCTAGGTGGGGTGGGGCCAGAATAGGAATATGCGTCCCATCTATCGCCCCTCCACAGTTAGGGAAACCCATTTGTGCAAAGCCATCCACAATGTCCTGCACTTTACCCAGAGTCACGGTTCTTCTGAGCAAGATGCGATTAATGGCCTTACAAACTTACATCAACACGATTCCAACAGTCGACTTTCCCACTCCAATCTGGTTCGCGACCAATCGGTAGCTGTCTGGAGTTGCCAGCTTCCAGATTGCAATAGCCACCCGCTTCTCCACTGGCAGGGCAGCTCTCAATCTCGTGTCCTTGCGCCGCAAGGTGGGGGCGAGCTCCTCACACAGTCCCATGAAAGTGGCTTTTCTCATCCGAAAGTTCTGCAGCCACTGCTTGTCATCCCAGACTTGCATGACAATGTGATCCCACCACTCAGTGCTTGTTTCCCGAGCCCAAAAGTGGTGATCCATGGTGCTGAGCATGTCCATGAATGCCACAAGCAATCTCATGTCATACGCGTTATGTGACTCGATATCATCGTCGGACTCCTCACTCTCACATTGGATCTTAAGGAATAGCTCGACTGCCAAACATGACATGCTGGTGAGACTCGTCAGCATACTCCTCAGCAGTTCGGGCTCCATTTCCCTCAGACCGAAATGGAACACAGACTGCGCTGCACAGAAACCGTTGAAAGATGGCTTTGAAAGATGGTGCCAAATGGCGCCAAATGTGGACGGAAACACAGGGATTTCTGGGATGCGAAGTGATGCATCACGGGGCGTTGGGACAGGACCCAGAATGCCCCGCACCCATGCCCCCTTCCCACAACCCACGGCGCCAGAATGGGAAGAGGTGTTCTGTGGGATGGCTGTGGGATAGCTGCCCATAATGCACCGCTCCCAATGCCACGGCAAGTGCCGCAAATGTGGCCACGCCAGTGCACTGGCAGCTGTCAGTGTGGACAGACTGCAGCGCTTTCCCTACTCAGCTGTACGAAGGCGGGTTTAACTCACAGCGCTGTACAGCTGCAAGTGTAGCCATACCCTGAGTTATGGCTGCAGGGTCATGTAAACAAGTCACCTGGTACTGGACTCCATGATAATACTAGTGTTTTTCCACTCACGGGGGGGGGGGGGGGTGGGAAACAAAGGATTCCCGCCATATGCAAAAACTATTTAAGGCAGGGGAGTGACATCATCGTGGCTCATTCTTCACTGCCTCCCTGCCCAAGAAAGAAGAACACACCTGAGAAACAAAAAGACTGAACTAGGGTAGAAGGGCTGATAACCCCAGGCTAGAGGGTTGTCTAGCCTGTGAAAGGAATAACTGGAGTTTAAAGCTGAAAGCAAGTGCAGCTTGGCTTCAAGAATCTCTTCTGCCTAAAACAACATTTAGGGTGAAAATTTGCTGCTCATATCGAATTTTGTTAGTATATGAAGCTTACATTGCGTTTTTTATTTGCTAGGTAATCTACTTTGATCTGTTTGCTATCCCTTATAATCACTTCAAATCTCTCTCTTGTAGTTAATAAACTTGTTTTGTTTTGTCTAAAACAGTGTGTGTGGAAATTATAACTTGGGGCAGAAAGCTGTGCATGTCCCTCTCCACATTGAGGGAGGGGGCGAATTTCATGAACTTACGCTATAAAGTTCTCTGGGCAGCGCAAGACGGTACAATGTTGGGCTTACCCTCTAGATGGGGGTGGGCACTTGAGTACTGGGCAATTCCTTGGCTGAGCCTTCCCATGCAGGGCTGATCTCAGCATCTGTGTGTAGCTGTAGCTGGGTGTGTCCCTACCTGTATGTGTGCTGGCAAAGTGCAGTCTGAAGCCTGAGGGAGGGCTTAGCTGGCTTGCCTCAGCATTACAGTGTAAAGGGAGCCCAGGCTGGTGGGTCAGGTGGGAACCCAAGTTCCAAGTGGCCCCCTGGGGGGAGGAGTCCGACACACATCCCACTCCCATTCTCCCTCTACCCCCCTGCCATTCTCCTAGCATTCCTGACTCCCATCACACTCCTCCCTCCCCAGATCTCTGACTCATCCTCGCTTCTATCTTTCAGTCGCTCTCCAGATTCTCCCCAGGCCAGTGCTCCCTGCAGGTAATGCCGACTCTTGTGCTCACTGAGATGACTCATTTTGGGGTGGGGTTGTCTCTAGAGGAGAATTCGCCTATGCTGGGATTTGGAATCCCACGGGGTTGGGTCTGTGGGGATCTCCTGTTAGCCCCCCCTTGGACACACCAAGCTCCCACTTTGTCCAGCCCAGCACCAATGCCAGCCCCACCCCAGAGCGGCCCATAGGTGAAACAAGTTGGTGGGGTCTCAGCCCAGGGAGTCCAGAGGCTGGATGGGTACCCTGCTGCCCCCTGGTGGGGAGGGGAGGGTACATCAGCAGGTGATGGTGTGCTTTTTGGGGGGCATCATCCCCTGAAGTCTTGAAAGGCCAGTTTAGGAACACGCCTCATCATTGCAGAACATTCTCCTCCTGCTCCACCCCCATCCACCTCTTCTCCTGCCCCCGCCCCCCCAGTTCTGTGCCTGTATGCTCCAGGGGGGTGGGTCCTAATTCTTTGGCCTGGTCTGGTGGTAGCCCGTGTCTGAGGGTTGGATGTGGGGCATCTGTGGGCTTCTCTCTTGGCTGCTGCTTCTGTCTTCCTTCCCAATGCCAATGGGAAGCTTTTCTTTCCCAGGTGCCCCTGCGGCCCCATCCCTGTCCCTGAACCCCCAGAAGCAGGAGTACTTCCCCGGAGACACTGTTGAAATCAAGTGCTCTGCTCCTCCTTCGGTGGATAGAGTTGAAGGATTCCAGTACTACAGCGATATCGGAAAGGCCATCTCAGTCCCAGCTTCATCCAGGAGAAGCCATACTTACAACATAAACCTCACAGGGCCTAAGGATGGGGGGTCGTACCAGTGCGACTACTGGATAGGCCAAGCCGGTTCTTGGAACAGGTCCAGCAGGAGTGACGCTGTCCTCATCAGAGTAAAAGGTGAGCTTTGCACAGTCTCTACCATTCCTTAGGGTCAGAGGTGAACACTTCCAAGATGTATAAAGACATAAGTGGACAAAAGTATGGCAAGGAACCAACCAACAACATAGTCCCCCAACATGCCATTCAGTTCCCAACTACGGCTGCCCAACATGGCTAATCCCTCAGTGAATACAGCCACACAGTATGGCTGACCAACTGCCAACAACATGGCCACCCAACATGGCTGCCCAGCTACCAACAACATGGCTACCCCACTACAAACAACATGGCCACCCATCATGGCTGACCACCTGCCAACTATATGGCCCTCCAATATGGTTTCCCCACTACTGACAACATGGCCATCCAATATTGGTCGCCTACCACACTAGAATTCTGGGTCTGGACAAGAGCTCCTAGGCACTATGATAATACAAATAAATAATAATTGCTACCAACAACCTACAGCCACTAACATGGGCAGCCAACACAGCTGCAAAACTGATATCAAACATCTCAGCTTTCAGAAATATGGCTTCCGAACTACTGACTAAACCCCACCCCCCAGCCATGACTGCCACAAATATAGTCTACCAACATGTCTGACCAATTGACAACACAATCTCCAGGCTTCCAGAAACGTGACTCATTAACATGCTTATCCAAGAGCTGGGAACACCCTCAGCCATTGTACAAATACTATGCCAAATTACGGAAATCAGGCTGCCAACAATAGTCACCAAACATGCCCTTCACTTCCCACATAAGGGGAACCAAAATGGCTGCCAAACTATCAACAAAATATGGCTATCCAACTACAAACAACATGGCCAAACACTATGGCAATGCAACAGACACAGTCAACAACATGACATCCGAAATGCCTTCCCAACTAACAACAGGGTCACTGAACATGGCTGACAAAAAGCTGACAGTATGGCCGCCCCACATGGCCGCTCAACAGGCTGCCCAACGGCCAGCAACATGAGACTCATCATGACTATCCAACAGCCAGCAATATAGCAATTCATCATGCCTACCCAACAGCCAACAACATGGCACCCAACATGACTACTTGACTGTCAATAGCATGGAGATCCAGCATATGCCCCACACTCAGCACAACCTGATACATAAAGCACATAAAAGGCTGTTACAAGGAGGAGGGAGAAGAATTGTTCTTCTTAACCTCTGAGGATAGGACAAGAAGCAATAGGGCTTAAATTGCAGCAAGGGTGATTTAGGTTGGACATTGGGAAAAAAACTTCCTAACTGTCAGGTTAAGCACTGGATTGAATTGCCTAGGGAGGTTGTGAAATCTCTGTCATTGGAGATTTTTAAGAGCAGGTTAGACAAACACCTGTCAGGGATGGTCTAAATAATACTTCGTCCTGCCATGAGTGCAGGGGACTGGACAAGATGACCTCTCGAGGTCCCTTCCAGTCCTATGAGTCTATGATATCTACGTTCCCAGAACCTGTTCCCCAACATGACAAACTAATGGCTAACAACACTCACCTTATAGAACCTGGAGGAAGGAATAAACCCTGGGCTCTCACTCGCAGTTACACAAAGGTCCTCATGTAGGGAGTCATGAGGTATCAGTTTGAATCTTACCAGTGTTAAGTTTGGGGCAACATCTCTGCTTTCCCCCCATGTCAACCCCCCACCCCACCCCCGATTCATTCTTGTTGCCTCTCCTACCTTCAGACTTCCCTCCCTGGCCGGCGCTGAGTGTGGATCCTCCGTCCGGAGTGGTGAGTGAAGGGCTCCCCCTGCTCATCACCTGCACGGCCCCCAGCAATGCTGGTGAGCGAAGGTTTCACTTTTACAAGGAAGGAGCTGAGCTCGTCCCCGGGGACGTTGGGTCTGAGGTCAGCACCACAGAGACCAGGACCGGATCTATGATGCTCAACATCCCGCGAGCTGGTCCCAACAGCGCCGGGGAATTCACCTGTGCGTACGAGCAGAACATGAGCGGGAGGTGGATTCTGTCCCTAAGGAGCTTGGCTGTGAATGTTACCATGACAGGTGAAGGTGCCCCAGAGTTAGCAGTCTAAGATATACTTAATGCTTCCTGAAGGGGGCAGAAGTCATGAACACACACACACACACACACACACACGTGCACACACAGCAGCTCTCATTCCCTCCAGCAGGGGGCAGCAATCTCTCCCTCTCTCCCTCTTAAAAACACACACACACACACTCTGAGCAGGGTTCATCCCTTCCAGCAGGGGGACAGCAGGAACACACACACACACATTGTGCACATCCCCTACAGGAGGGGGCAGCAGTGATGCACACACACACACACACACACACACACATTGTGCTGGTCTCATTCCCTCCAGCAGGGGACAGCAGGGACACACACTCCTGCCAGTGTAATATTTCTTAGCAATTTCCTCCTTTTTGCAGCACACAGCCATTCCTGGGTCCGGGAGCTCGCTGTGGGTGGGTCCTTCTTCACCATTAATGGCCTCATCTTCCTCATCTCCCACCTCTGCCTGAAGGGCAAAGGTAATTGCACATTTCCCTCCCCTCTCCCTGCTTTCGCAGGACCTTGGAGTAGCTTAAACAGATGTACCCTGAAATTTCTCCTCCTGAGTCTCACCTGGCCAAGAGGCTGCTGCTGTAGACAACACTGCGAAGATATCTGCCACCAGCTACACCGTTATATCTCCTCTTCTGACCCCTCGGCTCCACCTCCTGAAATGCAGCCGCCTCTGGGGAGGGGCACCTGGGTAACCGCCACCCAGTAACACTGCCTAGGAATCCCCAAGGCTGAATGGCAGCTGCTTCTCGGGTGGGGCGTGGCAGCTGGTGGGCAGCTGCAGTGTAATGCCACAGAGGGTCGCTCCTCCAGATGCAGCCATCTCTGGGGTAGCCTGCGGCAACTGTTTAGCAGATGATAGAGCACTGCAGGCCAGAAAGAAATGTGAATGCAGACTCCCAGGGAAGCTGCAGCAGCTCCTCATCTCAGCCACAGCTCCAGCATGATCACTGAGGGGACAGCACCCCCTAAAGGGTCAGGCATCCCTCTAGCTGCAGCACCGCGCCCCCTAGTGCTATACAGGGGCATTGGGGTCAGCACTAATTGTGAGGGCAGAGCGCCCCCTACTGAGCTCCCTTCCCTGCGCCCTGCAGAACAGCGCCCACTACTGAGACCCCACAGTCACCCCCTACTGGCTTCATCACTTTGCTTGCTCCAAAAAGATACCCCCTCAAAATGTGCCCCAAGCCTCTTTCTTTCTTTCTTTCTTTCTTTGCGATTTGAGCATTGCCATGTGCTTTTCTCATTCTCAGGTTCCAAGGAGGAGCACACAAGCGGCTCAGACCCATTTCAATCAGATTATTACTCAGTCCTGGTTCAGTTGGTCACTGGTCAGTCTGGTCATTCTGCGACCGCCAAGGCAAACCACGTCTCCAGCCCCATGCCCCAGTCCCGTGGGAGTAATGAGTACCAGGAAGAGATGTGAAGGCTCAGATACTGACTGTGAATATTCCTCCCCTGCTCACAGATGGCTGGCCAGTTCCGCAGCTCAACTGGAGAAAATGTGACTGAGAAAAAAGAAAGAAAGATTCTATTCTCATTTCTCCTCAGATATTCCTACTCTATGTATATTCAAGATTGTATGAATCCCTGTAAATTCCCCCATCTCCAGCTTTTAATTAAACCTTTTTTTTAGCCCCTTCTTGTCTCTGACTCTTGTTTCCTTCACTGTGGTTATTTTGTCCCCCACATGGTGTGTGTCATTGGCCCTGCACTACTGACACAGAAAGGTGATTCTCCTTCGTGCCGCAAACTGCAACTCCTTCCCCTGTTGAGTCAGGCTGAGGCCAACAGTTTCCACCAATTGCTGAGCCACCCAGTGGAGCAGAAAAATGCCACGTAGCCCTGAAGTTTGAAGGTCAGAGAGAGAGGCAGCCCACAGGGGGTAGGAGCAGGCCTGCTACAGTCCCCGTCATCTCAGTGATACTCAGGGCCCCAATCCTGCCCCCAAACCTGACGCTGAACTCCCTTTTGCCCCCGTCTCCTCATCCATGTCATTCATTCATTCACACACACACCCTCCTCTGTCTCCCCTACGTGGCGGGCTGGGGCATACATGGGGAGCTGACACTATCATGGCCTGTCTGGTCCAGCCCTGTCTCGGGGAGGGAAGTGAGGTCCCCTGGGTTAGAGCAAAGGGACTGGCCAGGCCTCCTGGGTTCTTTGCCCAGTTCTGGGAGGGGAGGGGAGTTGAGCAGAGGGGCTGGGTGCCAGGACTCCTGGGTTCTCTCCGCAGCTCTAGGAGGGGAGCGGGGTCTAGAGCTGCTGTTGAGAAATACATCCAGAAAGCCATGTTGTCACAGCTCCACAGGCTCCGTGCTACACCCTGGCTTTGAAACCCTCTTTTGGCAGACTCCCAGCAGTGTGCCTGACCCCGAGGGGTCCCACTCCCCCTTCCACACCCCAGCCCTCTTGCTTTGCACCACAAGCTCTGCCCAGCGAGTCCAGACGAGACAGTCCCCACGGCAGAGAAGTGACCCGGGCGCCCCCTCTCTGCAGTGACACCCAGCAGCGGTTCCCAAACAGAGCTGGGTTTAGTGGTCAGCGGGAATTCACCAGGGGAAGGTCTTAGCCCACCCAAGAGAAAGAACAGCTAACACCCGCTCTGTGCTGGTCAAGCCCCAGGAATTCACCCCAAGCTGTAGAGCCCCCAAGCTCTGTCTCTCCTTGACCCCCTTCCTCAGCCCCAGTAGAGAGGAAACACACACCCAACCCCTCTCCATCCTTTGTTCCTGAGCGGGGGTCTCCGCTCAGCTTCCCTGCTGAGAAGCGGGGAAATCCGTCTGGTGCTGGGCGGTGGGTTTTCCCCTGTCTTCTCCACTGAGATGGGATGGGCCTTGGATGTCCCTTTAATGACCCAGACAGTCCACTCAGACAGCAAGGTGACACCCTACCCTCATGTCTCTCAGTCGGCCCTGAGAGCAAACTTAATCCCACTGGGGAGTAATGCAAAGTACAGGGGGAAACTGAGGCACGCGTCGGCTTCATAAAAACATTACAGCCAGCTCCCGCTTGTTACGGAAGACTTTGCAGAAAGTAGCTTGTCACGGCCATGAGGACTCGTGGCTGAATTTCCTGTGCACACAGCTCTTATGGGCTGGTCAGACGGGAAGGGTTGGTCACTCTTCCTGGGCGGAGACCGGGTCAGTGGCTGAGGTGAGAACCCAGCTCAGAGCCCCGGGGAAGCAGTTCAGCATGGTGCTAACTCTCCTTCTGCCTGTTCTGGGTAAGTGACTTCCCCTGGACATCCTATGTTTGTATCTCTTGTTGAGGAGAACAGATGAGTTTGGGATCCAAGACTCTTGGGTTCTATCCCTGGCTACGGGATCTTGTGAGGTAGTGCTAGGGGGGCTGGGATTCAGGATCTTGGGTTCTATCCCTGGTTCTGTGAGGGGAGTGGGGTCTAGTGGGTTAGAGCAGGCAGGGAGCCAGGACTCCTGGGTTCTATTTGATGTTCTCTCTCTCTCCTTTTCTTTAGCAGCCCCACCCTCCCTTCATCCCGAGCCCCGGAACGCTCATGCCCTCCCTTCCCTTCTCTCTTACAGCCGCTCTGCAGAGTGTCCCTGATTACAGGTAATATCTCATGTTGCTCCACCCCCGCCCCACCTCTTCCTGCCCAGTTCCGCCCCCTCTACTAGGTGTGCCGCTTCCTTGCTCCTCTCCCTTACCCCCCAGCCTCCGGCATGCCACGAAACAGCTGATGACAGCAGTTGGGAGGCGCGGGAAGGGAGGGGGAGGCGACGATCTGCGAGGCCTGCTGGCGGATGGGAGGCGCTTAGGGAGTTGAGGGGGAGCTGATAAGGGGGCTGCCAGTGAATGCTCAGCACCCACCATTTTTTCTCCGTGGGTGCTCCAGCCCCAGAGCTCCCATGGAGTTGGCGCCTATGCTGGCAGGGGAGTGGGGACTAGTGAGTTAGAGCTGGGAGACTGGGCACCAGGACTCCTGGGTTCCATCCCCAGATTTGGGAGGGAAGTGGGAACTCATGGGTTAGAGCAGGGGAGGGTGGAAGTCGGGACTCCTGGCTTCTAGTTCCCTCGCTGGGCAGGTCACTGGCCATGGCTATGCCTCGGTTTCCCCTCTGCAGGCTTGTGGTGCTGTCATTTCACACGGGCTAAAGTCTCGGCCACCCTTCCATAACGGCAGGGTCCGGGGAAGGGTAAACACTGTTCTTATTATCCTGCAAACCCCTTGTTTGGCCCGACTAGCTCATCATTCTTGTGGTATCAACACTATCTTGCTGTCAGTGCACTGATGTTATCTACGGCTTCCTCTCTGTTTTTCGGCGTAGCTGTTTCACTCATTTCCCCCAACGTGTTTTCCATCATCGCTGATGAAATCTTCCCCCCATGGTGCCCATGCTGTGACCCAAAGACCTCGTGATGCCAGCTGACAAAGGGATCCCCTGGGTTCACCAAAGAACCTCCCGTAAGGTATCTAGTGAAAGCCTGTCGCACTGGTCATCGTAAGCATTGCGATACGTGTATGGAAAATATGGAGAGAGTTATGTAGCTGTGATGAAAATGATGTTCTCTGGGTCACTCAAAAGTAATCCACATACTCCTGGCAGGCAAGGAGATGCTTAGCTCACTCTGGCTGATCACGCATACACGGAGTCTTGTATCGTTCACGCTGAATGCCCATTGGCGGGCTGAACAAATCAGCGGATGACACAGGATGGAGGGGGGGAAAAAAGCCACCGGGGGTGAAGCAATGAACTTTTGGGACTACAGCTGGGGTACACATGAACCTCCCAGGTGTTCCCTCAGTCTGTCAGGACAAGCTGCCAACAGCTAAGAAACTGGATCAAATCGGAATCAGTCCCTGGTTGAGCTAGGAAAACATCCCATCTTGATTTAAATGGTCTCGATTTGTTAAACCTGTCTGCCAAGTACACTTCTACCCTGATATAACTCAACCCGCTATAACAGGAATTCGGATAGAACGCAGTAAAGCAGCGCTCCGGGGGGGCGGGGCTGCACGCTCCGGCGGATCAAAGCAAGCTCGATAGAACGCGGTTTCACCTATAACGCAGTAAGATTTTTTGGCTCCCGAGGACAGCGTTATATCGGGGTAGAGGTGTATAAAAAGCTAAAGGGTAAAAACCTAGGGGCAGGTGTGGGATTAATTTGAAATGCAGCAGCCACGTGGTATTGGATGTTGTCGGGGCAAAAAAGGAAGTTGGGGAAAAGGGAGGAGGTGTGTACCCGACAGGTAATGAAAACTGAGCAACTAAAAGCGCAAAGTATTAACCAGGCTGCAACCCAAGCCTATGCCCCGGACAAGTTGCAGGCCTTGAGGCAGGACTTCCAGGCGGAAAAGGCGGAACGCACTCACCTGGAAGCAATGGCTAAGCAAGTACCAGTCCTTCAATGGCAGTGTGTCCATAAAAAATAAATTAAACAGTTAAAACGTCAGTTGACCGTGCGTTCGGTCCAGGCGGCGAGCCTCACGGGGGAGGATTCGGGTGACTCTTGTGGCTAGCTTTAATCTCTCCCTTTGTGAGGATCCTCAATTTTGTGCAAAACCCTGTTGCACCCCTATAGCGGCCCTCATTAAGACTGAGGAGAGGTCCAGCGGGTGAAGGGGGGGAGAAGAGCGTATGTACGGCACCCCCATCTACGAGGAGAGCACCCCGTGGGGTGATTACAAAAAGGAAAGTGACCAGGAGGGGTGGGGCTAGTTAAAAAGCCCACCCTCCTTGCTAAATTGGTAGTAAAACGAAGCCTGTGCGCATAGAAAGAAACATGCAGCAAAAAACAAAAAAAAAAAAAAAAAAAAAACTAAAAAAAACAAAAAAGAAAAAAAAGGAAAAAAAAAAAAAAAAAAAAAGCAAACATCAAAAATTTAAATCCCTAAAATAGTACTTAAAATGGTAAAATCTAAGTTAATTAAGGTGTCATTTAAAAAAATAAGCAAGTAATTTAAAATAAAATAAAAAATTAACTCTGCAAAGGCTAAAAAAACCCAAAGCAGTAAAATGTTATAAAAGTATTAAAAAAACAACACCTTGGTTTCTTTGCAGCTATTCTAAAGGAAAATGGGCCCTTTTCCAAAGAAAGGTCTGTAAATAATCCAGGCAATTCATCTGACGAAGTGGGCATTCACCCACGAAAGCCAGGGCCGGCTCTAGGCACCAGCAAAACAAGCTGGTGCTTGGGGCGGCACATTTTTAGGGGCGGCATGGCCGGCGCCAGAATGCCGCCCCTAAAAATGTGCCCCGGCCGCCCTAGCTCACCTCCGCTGCTGCTGCCGCTCGCGCACCACGGGGGGAGGAGGCAGGGCTGGGGATTTGGGGAAGGGGCGGAGTTGAGGCGGGGCCAGGGGTGGGGTAATTAAAAAACGGGGGTGGGGCAGCCAAAATTGTTTTTGCTTTGGGTGGCAAAAATCCTAGAGCCGGCCCTGACGAAAGCTTATGCTCCAATACATCTGTTAGTCTCTAAGGTGCCACAGGACTCTTTG